GCTCTTCACTAACGGGTCACGTGGTCTATCTGGGAAAAGGCGGTGTCAGGTGTCCGTGCTGTGGGAGGAGGGGCGGGGCCCTGTGTGTGTGTGTGTGTGTGTGTGTGGCCACTGTCAGGGACCTTGTGCCACTCCTGTCCCTTCCACCCTCCCAGAGCTCCCCAGTAGTTGGTGCACATGGGGATCCCATCCCCCTGCTGCTTGTCAGGGGAGCCCAAGAAGGGCTTGGGGTGACCCCCACCTGTCTAGTACCCCTCCCCTCTACTTTTGTCAGTTCTACCCCCAGGACTCTCAGTCAGTCCTGTACCCCCATGCTGGTACCTCCATGGCCTCTCTTCCACCTATGCCCCATGCCTTCACACAGAGCCCCCCACCCTCTCTGCCCTGAGGAGGGGAGCAGGAAGAACGGCCACTGGTGTCCCCGTGTCTGTCTCCCTTCCTCAGACACACACATCGGGGACTGAGCTGGGACCCAGCCCCCTCCACCCCCACCTGTTGTAAATAGATGGCAGATCGCCTGAGAGCACCCCGCCCAGCCTCTCCCCACACACCCTCACTCATTCCAGGGAAGGCTGTGGGCTGTGGACCCACTGCATTGTCAGTCCTCTTGTGCGCAGAGAGTGGCTGTGAAGTAGAAGTCTCTATTCCCCCCCCCTTCCTGTAAATATTGTCTCTAAATGTGTAACATAAAAAAGAATTTATAAGGATTTTTAAAGACGTTTTGCTCATTTAAAACAGTGCTGTAACAGTGTTGGGTAAAGCACCCCCACCCCACATCCGCATGTCTCCTGCACTGTGTCCCTGACACACCTCTCTAGGCAACAACTAAGATGTCCCGCTTCTGGAAAGTTCTGTCTTCAAAGTGCAGTCTATATCTCGGAAATAAACGGCCTTCCTCGAGGCTCGACTCAGCTGTCTCGCTTGTTTGGGGCTGGAGCAGAGAGGAACAAGGGGGGGGCCCAGATGGGGGTGGTGGTGGCGGGCAGGTGGCCCCTTGGCCAGGCCGAGGTGGGTGGGGACAAATCTCGTACTCTGGCAGCTGTGTGGATGTCCAGGGTGTGAGCAGTGGCCCAGGCTGGGCACACAGGCAGGAAGGCCAGGAGACTTTCGTTGCTGGGGAAGGTGTAGGTTTCCAAGGGCCTGATCTCAGGTGAGCAGGGACCTTCCTCCGAGGTCCTGGGTTCTCTCTGTAATGGCCCCAGAGGCCCATACGCTGAGAGGGGTCACCCTGACCTGGGGCCATCACAGGCACCCTGGGCTCAAAGAGTGTCTCAAAAGGACCAAGTGTGTGGTGCCCACTGTCTTATTCATGTACGTCAGCTTAGAACAGTGTCGGCTGCCTTCTGTGACATGGCTCCAGAGTTGTCCCCCCTTCCGTGCTGCCCCTGCTGCCCCCAGCGTCCATCTGTAGGAAACGCAGACCACAGTCCACAGAGGAGCCCTGAAGGGAGGCGGGGCTCAATGATGAAAGCCCCCTCCTCTCCCACGGGTGGTTTTGATTTGGCAAATGAGCTAAGAGGGTCAGACTTCTCCATGGAGACCATCCGGGCAGCACACAGCGGGACTTTCCATATCTGAAGTCAACCTTCCCCTTCGAGCTCCACGCTATGGGTAGCTCCATTGTCTAGCTAGGCCTCAGAAGGGTTAAGTAACTGGCCCAAAGTCACACAGCTAGTAAATGGTGGTGGTGGTGGATGCCCTGGGGTCGGTTCGGACCCATAGTGACCCTACGCACAACAGAAGAAAACATAGCCCCGTCCTGCCCCACCCGTCATTGTAGACACTGTGTCCATCCATAAATCTAAGCCCAGAAAAAGGGCGCAGGGACAGGATTACCCGTCCGACGGACCACCTTCCCCAGGCTGTAGATGAGAATGAACCCAAACCCCATTCGTACCCACTCCTTCGAAAATGGGGAAGGGCAGACAGCTCCCGCTAGAGAAAAGCTGAGATTATCTGTCACAAGGGGACCTGCCATTTACTAAGAACGAAAGAGGTTCCTTCAGGCCGAAAGCCCAGTTGGGTACCCAAACCCGCAGGAAGAGACGAAGGACGCAGCGTTACTGTGAAAGACAGTATTTTGTTTGTTGTTCTTTATTTTCCCCTTTGTCTTTACTATTATTATTGTCTTTAAAAGACAACAGAATCCTTGCCATTGGCAGCTCAACGCCCAGCCCACAGCGCCGCCTGGACTTCTTCAAACATCTGTTCCCTGCCCTCATCCATCCCTGCCAGCCCAGCCCTATCTCCTGTCCACACTGCAGTCAGCCGCCTCTTAGATAAGGGAGTCCAGTGTCATCTGCCTGCTTACAGCCCTCCGCCTGATTGCTCTCCCCAGCTGGGAAGGAGCCTGCCCTCTCTGCTACAGGTCTCAGGCCCGCCACTCCATCCCCACACACGATCCGGAGAGCCGGCCGCTTCATTTTCTAGAACATTTCTAAATGACTTCCCACCTCAGGGTCTTTGAACTAGCCCTCTCTCCGCCCAGAACACGCCCACCAGCTCACAAAGGCCCTCCTCCTCATTCTGAAGGCCTCCATTCACACTTCAGGGCTTGGCCCACCTCTCTGAGGTGGGAGCCCACCCTACCCTTCCCAGGACTCTGCCACAGCTGCCTGACGGGCCGCTTTCCTTCCTGGGATGAGTTAGCACAGGTGTTTCTGTTCCCCTGCTAGACTGCACCCCAGCCCAGTGAGCTCTGCACCATCCGGAGAGGAAGGGGGTGCCTGGCCTGACTCCTGGCAGGCAGCGGGTGGTCCCATGTGTCACTTGATCTTGACCGGCCATGGAATGGGGCGATTCCGGGAGTGGAAGGGTAGCTTGCCTATTCTGGAAGATTTCTGGGACTGGGATGGAAGCACACAGGCATGGTGAATTGCTAAAGAGGCCAGGAGGGATGAGGCCTGGCTGTCTACAAGTTCAAGGGCATGTAGGGGCTTTGGCAGAGGGGTGGCCCCCTGGAGTGGCTGTCCCTGCAGAAAGCAGTTAGGTTCCCCCAAGTTCTGTCTCTAAGGAGGCTCTCTGCTTTGGGGAGGAGAAAGGGTAATTGAGGCACCAGGACACCTGTGGTTTGTCTCATGGGACAGAAGTGATGAAGGTGCTGGGTTTGGGAGAGACCGACTAAAATCCCAGATCTCAGCCAAGCGACAAAATGTCTGCACAGGTAGCTTTAAAGACCCCTGGAACCTGCTGGGCCAGTGGTACAGCCTTCTGAATCCCACGAAAGCCTGAGACAACCTGTCAGGGCGCTGCCTGGGTCACGGGACCTCCTGCTGGCCTCTGCTGCGGTGGGTTGGGAGGGTTGAGGCCGCTTGCAGGTCACGGGGTCAGAATGCAAGGCACTCACCCACCTAGACTCAGTGGGAGCCCGGAGTAAGTCTCCTCACAGGAACCTTCCCGGTACAGAGGAGACCACAGGGGCGGGTGGAAACAAAAGGTCCCAGGGGAACGCAACCACCATTGCCCCCCTCCAGCCAAGCAGGCTGGAATGAGTGGTTCAGGCCAGTGTTTTCCTAGCTGCGGCTTTTGACCCATTAGAATAATGTTTCCCCAAATGTTTTCACATGTGAAAAAACATGAACCTGGTGATCATGAAGTAAACACAAGTCGGCGCTCTATAGGGTGGTTGGCTTATCTCACCCCGGGGTCAGCAGCCCCTCGGACTCGCCTGTCCCTCCTACTGCACTGGGCAGGAAGGCCTGCCTTCTACCCAGCCCTCTCCCGAGACCCTGCCCCTTCCAGGCCCTCCCAGGCGGAGGAGAGAAAGAATCACACAGCAGCCTCCAGGAGGAGGTCCGGGAGAGGAAAAAGAAACCAGTTTTATTAAAGCCCCAAACACTCGGCTAGAAAAACCAAAGGGGAAGAGAAGAGGGCAGAGGGGAGAAGAAAACAGGACATTAGAAAAGAGAGACAGAGAAAACACAGCAACCCTTCCCTCTGAGAAGTTGTCAAGGTACACCGACAGGTCACAGAGCATCCACAGAAGCCTCACTGCTACACCAACACGGGCCCTACAGGGTGGGCGGGCAGGGGGCAGAGCCGAGCGCCCAGGGGAAGGCCCCCTCGGGAGTCCTCCGGGCCTGGGGCCCAGGCTCCTGGGGAAACAGCGTATTGTGGAAGGGGTAGAGAGAAACCCCCCATGCGAGTCACACAGCACAGTGGGTGGGGGCTGGGAGGGGCCGGATACAGGGTCCCCCCCAGGCGTCTTAGTGTTCTCTTGGTCAAGCACACACTGATGGACAGAGCAGCGAGGCGCATGCAGCTGGGGGCATCAACGTGCTGCGGGCTTGGAGGGGACCTGGGGGGCTAGGGGGCTGGAGGGGGGGCACCACAGCGAGTGGTGCAGGGGTGATGGGACACACACACACACACACACACACACACACACACACACCTGGATCTGCACCAGCACACACATGCCTTTGCATACCAGAGAGGCACACACATCTCAGGTCCCTCAGAGTACGGGCTTCTGTCCACACACATGCCCCCGCACCCCCACCAGCCTCCGGCGGCTTCGCCCACCTGCACACACCCCAACTGCACACAGGCTGACCCTCCCCCCAAGCCCCTTGCACGCTGGCATGCAGGTAGGAGCTGCCAGTGCTCCGACACCAGTCTCCAGTGCATACACACACACACACACACACACACACACACACACACACATGCGCGCGCAGGCTGCACTCACCTCCACACAAACACGTCCAGCCCATAAATGCGCAGAAACCGAAGGGAAGGGAAGTCGCCGACCAGCTGGGCCGGGCCTGTGGGCGAGGGGCAGGGCTCCCTCCTGCTGCCCCTGTAGCCTGGACACTGTCCCCGGGCCTCTGCTCCCTCCCCCACAAATGGACATTCAACTCAGGACAATGACAGTGGGGCACAGGGCTGAGGGAGGGCAGTGGGGGCAAGCTAAGAGTCGCAAGCAAAGAGGAGTGGAGTGGAAGGAGGAGGGGACACCACTCCCCCCTCCCCTCCCAAGTCAGGGGTCTCTGTACAGCTAAATCAAACCAAACCGTGTCACTGGACCACAGAAGCCAGACAATGCCCACCCGGCCCTTCCCCCGCCAGAACAGTGGCCAGGGCGCGGGCCCTGCTGCTCCTTTTTTCTTTTTAAATATTTATATATATTTATATTACGTATATTATATATATATAATATGTAAATATATTTTTAAAACAATATAAAATGTTAAGACACTTCACTTAAATGTAAAGAGTTCCCTGCAATTAAAAGTAATTGCATCATTTATCAGGTCCTTTTTTTTTTCTTCTATTTTCCAGGGGGGCGTTTTGTGTTTTTTTTTAAGGAGGGATTTTCCCCCCCTCTTCTTTTGTTATTTTTCAAAAAGGCTTGCTTGCCTTTGTACAAAAATGATCCAAAGCTAAAAAAAAACAAACAAACAAGGATGAACCAAAAGAAATCCCCCAAACCCCGAAACATAAAACCCCAACAACAGCAGAAGAAATGAAGGAACACAACCCGCCCCAAGCCCCTGGCTCTCCCCGGGTGCTGACCCACCCCCTGCCATGCCCCAGGGGTAGGAGCCCAAATCTGGGGTTTCCCCTCCAGTGGCTCCTTCGCTCTGTGCTTACTGAAGGGGGAAGGGGCAGACCCCAACTCCCCGCTCTTCCTGTGCTTACCCCACTTTGTGCTCCAAACCAGAGTCTGCTCCCTGGGACCCCTCATTTCATCCCCCTCCCCCTCCTCATCCATACAATCTAGGGTTGGTCTCCCCTCCCCTCTCCAAGTGACCCACTCACTAGAATCAGCCACAACCAGAGCAGGCCGCTCAGGTCAGCTCAAGGATCTCACTCGGGCTCACCAGCTGCCATTTAAAAGCCGTGAAAATGCTCGCCACCCCCCTTCCCACTTGGTGGGTGGTCAGAGCTGTCTCCACTACCGCCCGTCACCTCTCATCTCCACCGGGCCTCAAAACCTAATTTTCTAGCTCCCTCATCCTTGCCCACCCACCCCTATTCAATAAGTTAATGCCATTTAAAGTGCTAAATTAGGAAACTAAAAGTACCAAATACCCCTCCTTTAGGGCTGCCCTCTCCCAGGCAGTGCCCCCTGTGGTAGCTGCCTGTTCAATTCCCCCTCCACGGCCAGCAAAGCCCACAAGGCCTCCTTCCCGCTCCAGGCACAGGCCAGACAGCTCCTCAGGGCCGCCATGGTGAGTCACAGTGAGCAGCCACTCTCCGGGGAGGCAGCTTCCACAGCCCACACATGCTCCAAGGTCTCTTGAACGCCAGCCTCCACCGGCCAGGCCAGCTCCGGGCCCAGCCCACCGAGGCACAAGTGGAGGGGTGAGGCATAGCAGCAGAGCCCAGTCACGTCCCGAAGGTGGACAGGGAGGAAGGCCGTCCACAGGACCGAGCTCTCCCTGTGTCCTGGCTCCCATCCTGATACTGGGGTGGGCCCCGTGTCCAGGTGTTCCTTCAGGAAGGTGTCCAAGGAGGAGAAGGGGGTCTCTCGCCGCCTGCTCCAAGTCTCCGTGGCTCAGAGTTGGTTTGCAGTACTCTTGGGAAGTGAGGGGAGAGGAGGGGAGAGGAGGGGAGAAGTAGGGAGGGGAGAGGAGGGTGCAGAAACGGTGGACAAGTTGAGAGGAAGAGTGGGGAGAGAGAAAGGGAGAGACAGGAAGTGGGCCAACAGGAGGCCACTGTGGAAAAAGAAATCAAGGGACAGTGGTGGTGTGTTTGGTTTCCAGTTTTACAGTTTTGCTTTTTATTTTATTTTTTTAAAAATTGAAAGTGAGTCATTTAAAAACCCAAATACACCAACAGAGGATGGGTGTGGTGAACTGAGGCTGCCACACGGGTGGCAGCGTCACCAGAGGGTCTGGAGGATGGGGGTAGATGGCGGGCGAGGGGTGGGGTGGGGGAGATGGGGGAAGAAGAGTGGGTAGGGAGAGAATGGCAGGGGTGAGGGAGGGGGCAGGCTGGGGTGGGGGTGTCACGGGGCTTCTAGAAGGATATGGAAGAATTCCTCGCCCCAAAGGAAGTCAATACGGGGATAGAGGTTCTGGAAGCCGAAGGCTTTTCTGAGACTGGGCTCGAGGTCTCAATTGACCCGCTCATCTCTTTAGATGGTTTAGTGGCCTGGAACGAAAACAGGGGTCAGGGGTCAGAGAGAGGAAGGGAGAGCCTGCACATTGGTCCCCAAGCGAAGCTTTGAGAATGAGAGTCAAACCCCAGAGAAAATTCACTGCAAAAGACACCAGAGAGGGGGCTGGAGAGAGGCAGGGAGAGGAGGGGCTGCAGGCGGGGCAGGAAGGACCTTGGAAGCCAGAGTGGGAGGGTAGGTCTGTGGTTACTGATGACAAACAGAGAAGGCAGAAGAGAGCACCAGAGAGACACGAGGTGGGCCGTGCCCAGGACACGCAGGCAAGGAGCCGGGGAGAGGGCAGAGGGCAGGGGGGAGAAGAAGAAGGGACATGTTAGCTGCGACAGCGGGGCAGCCGGGCTGAGGGTGCTCAGGCTCTCACTCTCAGTAGCCAGCAGATCTAGGAGCGGCCTGAGACGCAAGCTTGTCCCCACACACACACACACACTCTGAGAGCACCCCGCAAAGACCCCACCCCGGAAACCTGGGACAGCAGCGCTAGCCTCCTGCCCACTGCAGGGACCCCCCCATTGCAGCCTCTTCAGCCGGCCCCTGCTTCTGGGCACCTTCCACTGGGAATGGGGCGTTCCTTCCCTCCCTGTGGGGCATCCTGCACTGAATGGTCAGTTCTGACACTGGAAATGGCCAGCCTCCCAGTCCCCACTGGTCCCAGAGGTGTGTTCTTAGGAGCTGGGATCTTCCAATTACGAACACCGTCTGCGTCGCCTCAAGGGAGACCATGTAGCACTTGTTACAAATGCAGATTCCTGGGCCCGCGCCAGTATCCACGATTCTGTGTCCGCGACCCTGGGGGCCGTCGGGGCCCCCCTGTGTTCCCATGACCTTGGATCCGAAGGGCGCTGTACCCCTGGCCCTGGAATCTGCATTTCAAGTAAGTGCCACAGGTGGTTCCGCTGTCCTCTTGACTCTGAGACCCTCTGGGCTAGGGATCCCTGAACACTGCTCCCCCTCGCTTTCGGGGGGCTCTGGACGCAGCTGGGTGCCGTCCGTTGCCATTTCCCTCCCACGTGTGCACAGATGGTCCATTCAGTGATGCGTCTGGGTTGTGCTGGAAACATGAGGGGCATCGACATGCTCGTGGGGAAAAAAAAATTCTTTCTCTTTTCATTCCATTTTGCCCCGAACGTCCAGCCCCCAGCTCTGTATCACCGGGTCTGCAGGGGACCCACGGGGCCCGCGGAGCCCTGTCCTTGAAATTCGGCTGCTTTGAGAGGCTCCAGGCCCAACAGGCCCAAGGTCTTTTGTCTCCTGGGTCCTTTGCTGAGTGCCACCGTCTGCCGGGCATGGCCCCTGTCCTCACAGGGCTCCCCACACCTGGGCCTGAAGACAGCCATCTGAAGGCTCTGCCAAGACCCTGGGCCTCCATGCTCCCACCCTCCCTCCACCCGCTTCCCCTTCAGGGTCCTCTCTGCCAAGCCAGGCGGATGCAAAACGTGGATGCAAAATGCGGATGCAAAACGCGTCCGCCTTCTCCCCTGGTTTCTTCACTTCTCACTGTGTCTCAAGCAAGGTGGCGAGTCCCCTGCCCGCCTCTTCCTATCCATGGTCTTCCTAGCCATGGTCCCTGCCCGATCTTCCGAGCCATGGTCTCTGTGTGGGGGTAGGGTGGACTCAACCTGCCAATCAGGCGGCAGCCTGGTGAAGCTTCCTCATCAGTGTGGTCTTTTGATGAGAAGGACCCTGAGACCGTGAGTCCTCCCTTCGCTCCCTTGCTTGGATTCTGCGACCTTGGGGGCTGTCAGCACCCACTGTGGTCACACCGACCTTGGATCCACAGGGCTCTGCATGCCCGGCCTGGGATCTCCCCGCTTCGCGTTTCTGCGTCCAAGGCCCACAGAGATGTGAGTCTGGAGAGGCTTCGGCAGGCAGGCGTCCGATCGTGGACTTGAATTGAACTGAGCCGGGACGCCTACCTGATAGTTCTTTCTGACATACGTGTGAGTGCCGTGGTTCTGTTTGTCTGGGCAACCGGCCTCACACCCACACCGCTTCTCCCTTTCAGCACATTTCTGTGACTTGGTCCATCTCACGCTCAGGTCTTGGGGCAGTTGCCTTCAAGTCGCGTGGCACCCGGGGGCCACGGGGTGATTGTCCAAACCCAGTCCAAGCAAGCACTGGAAACGGCGTGGTGGTCCCGTTGCCTGCTGCTCCGCTTTTCCTGAGTCCTCTGAGGCCCTCTGCCTCCCAGGAGAGAGCTTGTGGCACCAGGCCAAGTCCGTTTTCCAGAAGCTGAGGGAGCACCTGCAACAGTGCCTGGTGGCCCTGCCCTGCGCCGCTCAGGTGACACAGCTGCCATCTCCGAAGGTTCTTGGCACTTTCCTTTCACCAGCAAGCCCTGCCTGTCGGTCCCAATGACGACCAGAGAAGCAAAACACTGTCACCTCAGGGATGCCCAGCCTTCCACTGTGGGAAACGTGGCCCTGTGGCCGAGCCTGGGAGCTGACCCTGCACTGGCTCTCTTGCCTGTGTGACTGTTCCCAGAGCACATGCGTGCATCCCGGCCCCAGGCTGCAGGGTGCCACCTGTCCATGAGGCAGACCTTGTCACCTGCCTCCTCTAGGGCCAGTACATGCCCCCCCCTCCGCCCCACCCCCACCCCATGTCCCTCTTCCTTGCTCGATAAATGTGGCCCCAAGCAGGCACTGCACTGCCAAGGGATCAGGAAAAGCCAGGATCCCTCACCAGTGACTCACGTCCAGATGGGCCAATGACAAGAGAGGGGAGCTTTGGGGCAGGGCTTCTGGAAAAGGTTCTTGGGAACAACCCCAAACGTTAGGTAGCTGCTCTCTGGGCAGGAAGGAGGGAGAAGCTGGACAGGATATTGGGGGGGGGGAGTCCTCCATGGTGGTAGGGAGGAGGAGAGGGGGGGGCACCAGATGCCATCTACCTTGCCGCCCCCCTTGGCAACCCACTGTGAGAAGGAGACACCAAGACAGCCCTGCGACAGGTCCTGTGACCAGGGTGACGGTGCAGGTGGGTGGCTCAGAGGCAAGCAGAAACAGCAGGAGATGGGCTGGAAGACTGCCAGGGGCCCTGGGTGCCTGGGCTGTTGCAGCTTTGTACAGTGGGAAGCGTCTGAGGACAGCTGAGTCACAGTGCCAGCTCTCCCGGCTGTGCCTTTGGGAGCCCCTTCCCTCCACTGTGTAGCAGGTCCCGCCTCTGGGTCTGGAGTCTGCACACCGAGCATGTGGACATGCCCCTGGATCCAGGGTCACTCACCCTCTGTGCCCTGGGGTACAGACCAGGGCTTGGATAGGAGCCACTCACCCAGCCCGGGGTACAGACTGGAGCCTGGATTCAGGGCCCTCAGAATAGTTAGACAAGCACACAGTTGAGGAACCATCCTGCACCTGCCAGTAGCAAACTGGGTGGGGACAGATCAGGCCTGTCTATTCCGCACGCAGTCCCCAAGTTGGCTGCTTAACTCAGGAAGCGGCTGCCATGAACCGATACACACACGCCCCACCCTGCCAGAGGGCCAGAGTCCCACCCCTCAATGTCAGCGGTGGGCCCAGGGAAACCCAAGCCCAAGGCTGGAAAAGCAAAGACAGAGTCAGATTCTCCTTGGGCTACAGGTTGTCCCCTACAAGTCACGGGGGCCCTGAAACAGGGGGGAGGGAGCTTCAGTGAACTGGGGCGGGGAGGCAGAGGACACAGAGTTGGAAGCACAGGGAAAAGAGTGTGGCAGGGGGTGGGGGTGGGGGGACGGGCAGGGGCAAGGAACACAGCTCCCTTCCCCACTCCAAGACAGGCCATGTAGCCATCCCCTCCCACCGTCTTTAGGAGGAGGGTGACAGGAAGCCAGGGAGAAAGTCTGTCCTTGCCCCTGTGCCTGGAGGCTCCCAAGAGAAAGAGAAGGGGCCTGGCTGAGACCCCTAATCTAACCTGATTGTGAGCCTGGGCTGGGGGAGAGGGAGAGGATGGTTCAAGCGATTAGTGGGCAGTCCTGGTAGGAGGGTGGAATCCCTGGGGATGCTGGTGGGTGCTGAGCCCAACACATGCACCCATGCACTCACACACGCCTGCACACCGGCACGCATGCATGCACGCACGGGCGCGTACCTGCTGCTGGGCCTGGATGCGCATGTACTCGGCCCTCTGCTTCCCGTGCTTGCCTTTGTCCGGACTGCCCGCCTGGCCCTGGGCCGCCTTCAGCCGGGAGGCCGCAGGAGCTGCCATCTTCATGGGCGGCACGCTGCCACCACCGCTCTGCGGGAAGAGGAACAGGGTTAGGCTTGGGCCACACAGGAGCCCCCCAATTCGGCAGTCTGGACCCGCTTCGTGAAGACTTCCAGGTCTACTCGTGCCCCCGGATCGGGCTGGGCCACAACCCCAGAACGAGGGAGGCCTCCCCAGCAGCTCGTGGTCTCCCACCAGTCGCCCAGTACAGCCAGTGCCCTCCTGTTGGGGGGCGGGGGGGTGCTTCTGAATCGAGCGCTGTGGACCCACCCCAACTCCAGCAAAGGGTCCCCGTCCTGAGCTGGGAGTCCATGATGGGGGCACCTTCCTCACTGGAGGATGGGGCGTCCATGAGGACGGGGGCATCTCCTCACGGAAGAAGGGGTGAACCAGCTGAGGCAGCCAGTCTGGGGACTGAGAGACGCAGAAACCACAGAGACAGAGAGAGTCAGAGGCAGGAGGGGGTGTGGGTGGAAATGGGGGTAGAACTTTATTTGTTTGGGTACAGATACAGAGCAGCAGGGGAGGGGCCTGGCCCCAGGCCAGGGCTGGGAGGGCAGACCCCGGAGTAAGCCGGCTGCCCAGCCCCCCGGGGGTCTGCCTGCAAACCCCCACCTGGCCCAGGCCCAGGAGGACAGCAGGAGTGGAGAAGCAGCCAGTGGGGGGAGGGGGCTGGCATGATGCTCCTGACCCCGCACCTCCCTCCAGTTCTGAAGGCAGACAGAGGGAAGGCAGGCCGGAGGACAGCACAGCAGAGGAGGCAGCCACCTGGGGGCCTGGGGGCAGGTCTGGGGGGCTGCTTCGGTGAGGTCCCACACCCATCTCGCTCAGGGTGGCTTCCAGCTCCCGAACGGTCTCTTCCAGGCTGTCCACCCGCCTCAGGGTGGCACCGTGCCTTGTGAGGCCGACTGCCTGTGGCTCTGGGCACTTCCTGCTGCAGACTTGGGCTTCTGGTCCCGAGTCCCTGGTGGTCTCCTTCGGGTGGGCCTCTTCTGCGGAGAGCTTCTGAGTCCCATCCAAGGAAGGTCCCCAAGGACAGAGGACCCTAGTTCCTCCATCTTCGGGGTTGCAGACCTCTCCACCAAGTCTCTTCAGAGCTGTCCCTTCACTCCCGGGCAGGGAGCTAATCCTGAGTCGCGGTGCCTCAGCTGTTTTCCCTGGTAGGGCCTTTGGGCCCAGGGTCCGAGGGCGTGGAGTAGGGACCATCCAGGGGACAGGTGCCTCGGGTCTGGCCTCTGGTGGGGATGGGGGGCTAGGGGTGCAGTCCGTCAAGATGATCCGAGGGACACAGAAGGCTCTGGGGCTCGGGGCAGCCTGGGAGAAGGAAGATGAGGAGGTGTGTGACCCCTGCAGCCCAGAGTGCCTGACCTGGAATGGGGAAGGGAGAGTGAGCCCAGTCCTTCCTCTCAACCATGGGGAAACTGAGGCAGGGGGAGGCCGAGACACCTCCCCACTTGGTAGGTGCCAGATTATCTAGGAGCAAGGCCACAGGTCCCTTCTCATCCCCCTTGTACACTGAGGCGTGTGCTCCTCTGTGCACTGGGAGGCCGACATGCTCCTGGGACATGCTCCTGGGCGGCTGGTGGAGAAGGACGGGAGCCGTGCAGGCACGTGGCACTGTAAGGCGTGACAATTACGGCTGTGGGCTGAGATGCACTCATCATCGGTCGGAGAGCCGAGGGCAGCCTCAGGGTACACGCTCTGTCTCTGCTGAGTTCCTCTGCTGCATGTACTCTGGCCGGCTGCTGCCGGGAGCCTTCCAGGCCCTGGCCGCAGTGGGGCACAGAGAGAGGCCCCCAGCTGGCCCCCCTCGATTTCAAGGCATCTCAGTATAATCCCCACTGTCTGCTGTGTTACAGGCCCTCAGCTTCACACCTCACTGGGGGTTGTGACATAGCTCTGCTCTCAGCATCCCCACCACACAGGGTCCCTGAGCCTAAGCTGGCCAGGGGCAGAGCCAGGATCTGTGTGCAGGCAGTCTGACCCCACGGCCAGTGCTCTTTCCGTGAGAAAGGTCTACGGGGAGATACAGGAGCTGCGCTCCCTCCCAAGGAAGCCCACCCAGCCCTGTTTGGTAGCTGCTTACCTGGAGTGGGGTGCAGAGCGGAGGGCCCCCCGCCTGCTCGACTCCACTGCCCGATGACACCTCGGGGTGCAGAGGATCGGCCAGGGCACAGCTGTGCCCACCCAGACCCTCTGGCACTGGCCCCCGAGCCAGACAAGGCATCAACTGAGGACACAGCTCAGAAGCCGCTCCTCCACACCTAGTGGCCTGATGGCTCCTGGGCCTCTCTGTCCATCTGCTGCCCACCAGATGGCACTGTCCACCCAGCTGGTGCTTGTCAGCTTCCCCAGGCCAGCAGCCAAACACTACAGAAATCTGGTGTGTATGGGGGAGGGAGGGCGGGGTGGGGTGGGGGGGCATTGGCTGTCCTCTTGGGAGCGGGGGTCCTCGGGCCCCAACCTAACTGGATGCCTAGACCTCCTTCCCCCCCCTCCCCCAGGAGCACAGAGTTGGTAAAACCCCAGAACTCCCAAGAAATAAGACAGGAAATAAGTGCAGCGGGACAGCAGCGAGGACTGAAGTTAGAGAAAAGGAAGAACTTCCCGATGATGAAAGACAGGGGGGGCGGGGAAGAATCAGCAGCCAAGGAAGCACACAGGTTTCTTGACCAGAGGGGGCAAGATGAGGCCATTGGAGGCAGAAGGTGCAGGAGGGGCTTACTCTGGGGTGTCCTGGCCCCCAGAGCAAGGCGCTGATCCTAGTGCGAGGACCGAGCCCCACCTGGCCCAGGCAGCACAGTGGGGGAGATGGGGAGAGGACGCAGCGGGCGCCCATGCCCAAGTCTGATTTTTGAGCCAGACTTAAAGCCACCTAGTGAGCAAGAGGCACACTCCAATCTCAGACGGAAAGAAAATGCAGGCTTCGTGCCAGGCTCCAATCAGGTGCAGGCCCCAACAAACCACCCCGCCCCCCGCCCGCATTCATAGTGCCAGCAGGAGGCAGCAGGTTGCCCTGGCTGCCCACGCCCCGGGGGACTGGAGGAAGGCAGGGTCCTGTGCCTGGCCCGTGGTGGGATGCAGGTCCTGGGCTGGCGCGTTAGTGGCTTAGCGTGAGAGGCGAGGAGGAAGTTGTGGCAGCACAGGCAGAGAGAGCCGTGAGAGGGGGGGAGCAGCCCGTTACCTTCCGTGTGGGGCCCAGAATTGAGCCCCCGGGGGACCCCAGGTCCTGGGGGGACAGCAAGGTGGGGGTCGGCTGGCGGCGGGGCGTGGGGGGAAGGGAAGACACTGAACTTCTCTCAAACACCTGAGGAGCAGAAGGTGGGGGCAGGTTTGGAGGCAGGGTAACAGGGAAGGGGGTGGGTGTTGACCTATGGCCCAGGCACCCACAGGAGTGGGTGGTCTAGGCTGGCACTGGCCCCCCTGGGACCTCACCATGGCCATTGGTCCACTTGGCCCTATTTTTCCTCTCCTCCTTCAGAGAATCCCGGGAGTGCACCGACTCCAGGCAGTGCACCACTCCAGGGACACTGGGGTGTAGGGTCTCAGGTCACTCTGTCCTCGGGACACTGGGGTGTGGGGGTCTCAGGTCACTCTGTCCTCGGGACACTGGGGTGTGGGAGTCTTGGGTTACCCTGTCCTCAGGACACTGGGGTGTGGGGTCTCAGGTCACTCTGTCCTCGGGACACTGGGGTGTGGGGGTCTCATGTCACTCTGTCCTCATTGGGACACTGGAGTGTGGGGTCTCAGGTCACCCTG